CGTCAGCAAACCCTGAGAAGTTCATGGTTGCGGATAACATATTTCTAAAATCAGGTTCTAGAGAATTGGGGTGAGGATGGGCGTGCACCTCTGAGGGATGGAGGGAGGCACCCAGCCAGTGCCAGGGGCGGGGTGGGTCGGAATGCAGGAGGGAACCACTGGCTGAACTTCCAGTTCAGCTGAGGGGTCTCCTTTCCTGAATGACAGAAGTCTCCTCCTGGAAAAGGTCCTGTTCTCACCTCAGGGGCAGCTGGGCCAGGCAGAGTGTTAGGGGCAGCTGGGGTCCTCAGTGTTGTGCAGACTGAGCCTACAGGCCAGCTGGAGCTGTGGGTAACCTGCTATCTGGGATTTCACTGTTTGCCCAATTGCATAACAACAGACAACAGAAAAGGTGCCAACTCCCTCTTCAAAGGCACATGAACACTCCCAATCCTGCAGCATTCAGACATCACAAACACTGATCCCCCACTTTCTTCTCCCTGGGGAACCTCACTCAGCACCCAGAGCCCTCCCTCGGGGCCTCCCCACGCACCCTCCTGAGGATGGAGAAGCAGGCCCCTGCTGAGGAGCCTTCCAGGACCGAGAATCGCCTGCACACGTTCGTGGCAGCAGAGGCTTTTGCAAAAGCTGGCCCTTGGTCCCTGCCCTCCCCGGAGGGAAACCAGCTGCCTCCTGGGAAAACAATTCCATGCAACAAACAACGCGGTGCGCGGGCCAGCCATAATGAGGTCTGGTTCAAATGTTGGCACACATACAAAATATTAATTAAAATAACGTGCATGATAAATAATATTGGGATCCAAAGCACAGGCCTCCTCTAAAATCGCAGTTGGTAATTATGTGGGCGCCTGCTAGCACACACTCAGAATTCCAGTGCTGCTTACATGACAGAATTAGTCTGGCAAGGTGACCTTGAGCGGTCTTTTGCTGTGAGCATCCTCCTGTTTATAAACTGAATGACGTCTGGACAACCCAGAAAGGAGATTATTCGTCCTAACTTTCAAGTGCTAAGAAATTCCCGAGAGCCTAAATAATTCAATTTAATAATAAATATTTCAGTACCAGCCATGTAAGGCTCTCTGCTTAGCACTAGGGTCAAGGGTGGTGGTGGGAGGTGAACCATGATCTGTGTTTTCAAGCAGCAACTGGTTACTGCCCTGGTCAGTGTGGCTCAGTTAGTTGAGTGTCATCCCATGCACCGAAAGGTCACTGGTTCCATTCCCAGTCAGGACACATGCCAGAGTTGCGGGCTCCATCCCCAGCAGGGGGCGTGCAGGAGGCAGTAGATCAATGGTTCTCTCTCATAGATGTTTCTTTCCTTTCTCTCTTAAAAATCAATTAAAAAACATATTAAGAAAAAAAGAAGTAACTGGTTATTGGTTAATATCTGTCCCAGATGGAGAGTCCTTCTGTATGCCTCACCTAAATCTTTCATGCTGCTGTAAAAAGCCCGTTGCCACTTGTTTAGTCCTGGACTGGGGAGCTCACAGGACTTTGATTCTAAGGCTTCTAGAGCCTTTATTTACCCCCCAAGAGCTGGGGGTAAATGCCCCCCCCAATTTATAATGGATAAATGTCCTTATTTATCCAAAATTACAGTGTTTGTCGAACTGTCCTCCCACCAGAGGCCCGAGAGGTGAATTCTCTTTGTCTCTCCCAGTACCCAGCTCACTGCTGAGATCCTACCTAAGGTTTGCATCAACTCCAACACAGCCAAGCAATCGTACGCTATCTATTTTATCTAGACCTTCCAAATTATTACCAAATTTGACATTTATTACCCTGGTTAGTACAGGAACCTAACTGGGAAATGAAAAAGACCCAATTATCTTAATTCCGAAACCATTTTCTGTTTGTGGCTCAGTCAACATTTCGGCATCTCGTTACAAGTATTTAATTTCATTCCCTCAACAATAACCCCCGTACCACACCAGTGACCACAACTTTGATGCCCCAGCCCCTAAATTCTATTAGTGTTCAGAAAGCCTCATGGTTGCAACATAATGTTCAATCAGCGCAGAGAAATTAATTAAATTAAAATTATTTTTATTGTGATTTAATTAGCTTGATTTAATTACTTTGTTCACTGACTGAACATTCTGTTGTTCCAGCCAGATCCTCGCTCTCACTCTCGGTGTGAACGTTCCCACAGAATTACACATTTGCTCTGTTCAGCCATTGGAGAGGGCTGGGGGGGATGGGGCGGGGGGAACTTGCCAGAAACTCACGATTTATCACAATCAGCATCATCACAAATTATAGGAAGCATCCAGCAATATGATCACTTCTAAATGAAGTGTCTGAAAACAGGTCACAGCAGCAGCCTTGGCTGTTAATCCGTCATATTTCATAGTCAACCTGACACCCTGTCCAATTGACTCTGCCTGCTTGATCACCGGGCAGCTCCTGGGAGCTGCTGCCTCTCAGAGTGCCTGAGTCAGGGCTCCAGCTCCGATCCAGGCTGCCGCCCTACAAAGCCTGCCCCGCCCTGCAGCCCCTACGCACTGGCGCACCTGCTGCTGCTCCCTCTGAGCCAGGGATCCTGCCCCTGAGGTTCACAAACTACAATCCAGCATTTCCTTTGATTGCAAGTAAAGCAGCAAACCTCAGAGCATTGGCCATCCCTGGGACTTGGCCAATGAAGAACACCATGTATTTCCATGATCACGTGACAGCTACTGTATATACCCTGGAACACTCTACTTTCATCATTTCTTCAAAACAAAAGTGGGGCCCAGCCAGCGTGGCTCAGAGGTTGAGCATCAACCTATGAATCACGGGGTCCCTGGTTCAATTCCCAGTCAGGGCACGTGCCTGGGTTGTGGGCTCGATCCCCAGTAGGGGCGTGCAGGAGGCAGCTGATCGTTGATTCTCTCTCATCGTTGATGTTTCTCTCTCCCTCTCCCTTCCTCTTTGAAATCAATAAAAATAGATTTCACAAACAAACAAACAAACAGAATGGGTATTCGACATTCCACTAGACCACCCATGCTCTCAATCTTTTTAACCGCAGGCCACCCCACGATACAGTGTGACTCAGGCTGAGCAACGGCAGCCTTCGAGCTGGTGTCTCCTGAAAACAAACTCCGCTCCAGCTTGCCTCGGGTTGGAATGTGTCGTCTTTATGAATGTGCTCGAAGCTGTACACAGTTGTGGTCTTACCTTCTACCAACTGTGTTTCAATGCATTTGTCTGCCTGCACGATCCTTTTTGTATTTTATTGTATGACTAAAAACCGTTTTTCTGAGAAGAGATCCATAGACTTTGCCAGACTGCTCTAACAGTGGAGGCCTAAGTTTGTTGTTGGTTTTTTTGTCCCCGTATTAGTTTGGCTGCTGTAACAAAATGCCACACCCTTGGTGGCTTCCAACTATAGAAATTTCTTCTCTCAGGATTCTGGGGACCAGAAGTTCAACGTCAGCCTCACTGGGCAGAAATTACGGTGTTTGTCAAACTGTCCTCCCACCAGAGGCCCAAGAGGTGAATTCTCTTTGCCTCTCCCAGCTCCTGGTGGCTGCTGGCATTGTTTTGATGGTGGCCACATCACTCCAGTCTCCACCTCTGTCTTCACAGGGCCTCTCCTCTTCTGTGCGTGTCATCTCTCTCTGCCTCTCTCTTATCTGGACACTTCTGGTGGCATTTGGAGCACAACTGGATAACCCAGGGTAATCTCCCCCATTTCATGATTCTTAACTGAGTCACATCTTCAAAGGTTCTTTTTCTAATTAAGGTAACATTTACAGGTTTCCAAGGATTAGGATCTGATGTTCTGGGGGCCACCATTCAGCCACCTACAGTGCCTATGCTTCATTCTTTACGGACCATACAATTCCGGCCTGAGTCTGATGACATCAGGGTCATAAGGTGATTTCAAACACATATAAAGCTGTACCAAATTATGATAGATGTCCCTGCCAAAGCCCAGGACAATTAGTTAAGAGTTAATGTGATGGTTAAAGAGAAAGCAAGTCCTTTTAACAATTCAGTTTTCACCAAGGGCCTGGAGAGGAAGCAGGCCTGTTTCTTCACCTCCAGATGAAGAAAGGAGCTTTGCAAACCTTGCCGCTCTGACATGTGCAGCTCTTGGGCCTGAAGATCTCACGGGGCTCAGGTCTCAGCCTCTGCTCCTGCCTCCTCCGCCTCTCATCCTGCCCCCAGGGCGCTGAAGGCAAGTGTTCTGCAACGTGGTGAATGAGGAACTTATGCCACTGACCAGAAGTGAAAAAGGGCAGGACTGTGTGTTTTTCAATTAAATAGAACAACAGGAAGTGAGTGTTGAGTTCAACTTGAGATGTTCTGGCTACTGTTTAGAACAAAATATCTACAGTCAAGTGCACCAGACCAGAGTTATTTCCAAAAGGAGTTTTATAGCCACCTCTTCTGGGGACCAGGAGAACGGTGTCTGGGCTGATCCATCCTGATGCCGTCTTCTAGTCTAGAAATCAGACCTGGCTCCTGCCCCAGCTATGCCACTCCTTGTGTGATTTCATCCACAAACCCGACCTCTCCACCTGCCAGTTTCCTCCCTGGGGCAGGTGGACTGTGTGGGCTCCTCAAGGGCAGGACTTGCTCTTATTTTCCTGTGTGAAGCTTTGGGGCCAGCACACGAAGACCCTCATATTCACACTCATTTACTTGAACTGAATGTCGGCCTAAACTGACTCACAGTCTCAAATCGATACTGGGCGTGCTGCCTCTGAAGATAACTCTGAAACTCTACCCAGACAGTAAGTCAGTATTGCCACAGATGTATTTGACCTTGCGTAAGTCACTTTGCAAAGTCCCTTCCAGCCCTATGATACTTTCATCCCTTTTAAAATTAGCCTCAGCGAGTGCACATCTGCACTGGAAATGACTGGAAAGATGTCTCCAGCCCTCATGCTCCTCAGTGCAGAGGGCGGGCCCCATCCAGCGGGACTGTGAGCAAACCTTGGTGCTCATCATCAGGCTGGAAAGACCTTTGAGATGATCTAGTTCCACAGCCTCCCTTTACAGAGAAGAAAACAGATCTGTCCAAGGTCACATGGCTGGTTAGCAGCAAAGAACCCAGGCAGCTAGAACTCACTTCGACTGTCTTCTAGTCCCGTGCTTTCTTCATTTCTTTCATGCTCTGTCTTTAACCCAACGCTTTCACCTGGCTTGGTGAAACAGCTCAAACCATCACCTCACAGCTAGTGTCCCAAGCTGTCAAAGGGTACAGTATGTTTCTGACTCCTCTCACACAGAGTGTGAGAACCCACAAGAAAAAACCATTACGGGTACTCTGAAAAACTGTGGAGTGTTTTGGTACTGACTGATTTTTGTAGTGTGCCATTTTGATTCCCTCTTCTTGCCTTTCCTATATTTTTTTAGTTATCGTCTTAGTGGTCCCTTGGGAATTACAACTAAACTATTAAACTTCTAACAACCTAGTTTGAAAAATTCCAACATAGTTTCAATAGTATGCAAATACTCTCTCTCCCTCTTTATACAGGGTTTGGCAAAAGTAGGTTTACAGTTGTGAGTACACAAAACACAGAGTTTATTTTTGTATTATTATTTATTAACTAGAGGCCCAGTGCACAAAAATTCGTGCACTGGCAGGGGGGAGGGGGTCCCTCAGCTGGGCCTGCACCCTCTCATACTCCAGGAGCCCTCAGGGGATTTCCTACTGACGGCTTAAGCCCCAGTCTGACCTCCCTCTGCAGCAGGCGACCGGGCAGGCCAATCAGGGGACAATGCAGGCTGGTGAGTGGCCAGCCCTGCCCCCCCATCACCCCTCCACCACCTCTGGTCACTGCCACCCCACCCCCATTGCTGTCCCCTCCTTCTGCCCATTGAAATGCGCCTTGGCTTGCCAGCCCTGCCCCCCCACCCCCGCTCCCCCGCTGACTGGTTGTTCCACCGTTCAATTGATTTGCATATTACACTTTTATTATATAGGATTGTTGTATTATTTTCCATACGAACAAGTGTAAACCTACTTTTGACCCACCCTGTATTGTTATGGTTCCAGATCAGATCCTTATATGTTGTATGTCCATTAATGTAGACTTACAATCACTGTTTTATGAATTTGCCTATTAAATCATGTAGGAAAAAGATAAATTACAAGCCATAAAAAAAGTGAAATAATACTGGATTTTACATTTACCTGTGTAGTTACCTTTACCAGTGTTCTTTATTTTTTCTTATGGCTTCAATCTATAGTCTACTGTCTATCTAATCTATAGTCTACTGTCATTTCATTTAAGCCTGAAAGACTCCCTTTAACATTTATTCTAGAGCAGGGAGTCCATTTATTCTAGTCATGAACTCCCTCCGCTACTGTTTGTCTGGAAATGTCTTAATTTCTCCTCCATTCTGGAAAGATTATTTTACCAAATAATCTCTTTTTTTGTTGTTGTTACATTTTGAGTTCGTTTCTTAAAACTGCTAAGAGCCTACTTTCTCCTACCTACTCTGGTTTTGTTCCACTTTTCTGTTAATAATGTTTACAAAAATGTTAACCCATATAAAGAGGATTCCTCCAAGGTGCTTTCCATAATTATTCCTTTTTGCATATGGAGATTATTCTTCTTAATAAATGGGAAAATATATCTTTTGTTTGTTAATCCAATTAAAAGAGATAAGTGCTAAACTAAAATTCCCAACCAAATTCCAAAGATGAAGAAAACAGAAGCCCCAAGCTTTTTCCATGAGAGAAAATTCTCTCTGCTAATTTTAAGGTAAAATAGTCCTGAGAACGAAAAAAAAAAAATCAAACATGTTGATGTACTGGAACCAACTACAACAAACACATTCCTAATGTCAGGAACAAATATTGCAAGTAAAACAATGATAGTATTGAGTGCTAGAGTAATAAAAAAAAAAGGTGAATTCATGAGAATGGAAAACTGGAGGAAAAACATCATCATTAAAGCTTTTCTTGAAGGGAAGTGGATTAAAGGGACTGTCAAAAGTACAGCAAATGGTATGCATAACTTCAAATCATGACAACATCATGTGGCACGTATTTATTATAATCTTATAGTATATCAGATGCCACTTTGTAATAAAAAATAATGTACCCAAAGAGTGTAGATATAAAATACATGAGAAAAAGCAAAGCAATTTTGCTATATTGGTTACATTCTACATTCTTTTCTTTGAAGGGCTTTAAAGTCCACAGTATATGGGCAATCTTGAAGTATGGCAGAGAAACGAAAAGGCCATGATTGGTATAGCATACAAACTCTCTTTGGAGAAATGAGAGAGCTTTGCTTTACTTCTGCAGCATTTGAAATCTGGAAGTATTGCTCTATACAATTTAATGTCAGAGGATAAGGGATGGACCATTTTTAAAATTATTATCACAAGAGAAAAGAACACCATATAGAAAAATGATAAACTACTTGTGCACCCAAGAAAGGCTATGTTAGGAAGAAGTGCAAGAAGGAACAAAATGAAAACACAAATGATTATTAGTTGGGCTTATCCATCAAGATACCAAGATCCACTATAGTCTTCAGACAAAAATTCTGAAATAGCAGTAGGAAACTCTGTTTTAATAATTAAAAGATAAAGTGACATAGGTCCAATATTCTGAATTATTATGGTGCCTGCCACCACCACCTGATCCAAATGCAAAGAGTCCAAGATCTTCATAAGATGTCACAGTTGTCTGAGTACACATACTAAGCAGGAGATAAACTAAGAATAAAGCCAGGTGAGCAATTACCAGCAACAAGAAACTAAATCCAAGGATATCGGTATGAGCCATACATAAGCTAAGCCAAAAATGCCACTCCCATGATGGCATTTACCAAATTAAACACTGAGAAACCAAATGAAACACCTGGGGATCTCTGTCTGTGGAGTTTGTTGCTTAGCAACAGGCTCAACTCTTCCACCTCCACTTCCTCAGGCTGCTGGGAAGAGATGTACCAGCCCATCTTCATGTTGATGATCCCCCAGGGCACCTTCATGGCTGCTTGCTGGCGGACTACCAGGTCCATCTGCAAGCTACTACCCCTGCCTCCCCATCATTAGACACGCCAAAGGTAAAGCTATGGGATCCACCCCTCCCAATTACCATACCTCACCAGGGCAAGGAAGTGATATAAAATTCTTGATTGATAGTTGGTTTTCTTAATTCAGGATGTTATGTCATCCCAATGCCTTCTGGCCTCCATGTTTCTAGAGGAGAAATTGGTTGTTAATCTTATTGAAGATCCCTTGAACATAACAAGTCACATCTCATTGGCTGCTTTCAAAATTCTGTTTGTCTTTGGGTTTCAACAATCTGACTACCAAGTTTCTTGGTGTAGATTTCTTTGAGTTTATTGTTTATTGTTCATTGGGCTTCTTGGACATGTATATTCATGTAGTTCTTCAGATCTAGGGAGATGTTAGTCATTGTTTATTTAATGTTTTTCTTCCCCTTTCTATTTTCTGCTAGGATACCTACATTGTGTACATTAGTATATTTAATGATATCTCCTACATCTTTCATGCTATGTTCATTTTCCTTCATTCTTATTTTTTTCTGCTCCTCAGTTGAATAATTTCATTTGTCTTATCTTCAAGTTTATTGATGCTTTCTTTTGCCTGCTCAAATCTGCTGGTTAAGCCTCTAGAGAGTTTTTAATTTCAGTTTATGTACTTTTCACCTCCAGAATTTCTCTTTGGTTCCTTTATGCAATTTATATCTCTTTGTTGATATTTTTTGCCCATCTCTGTAAACCAATAAACACAAGTACACTATTTTTCTGAGATCTCTGAAACATTCTAGCCAATTAACAAGCCTGAAGAGTGGATCATGAAGACCCTCAATTTGTACATGATCAGTCAGAAGTATGGTTGGCTTGAGTTTTACAACTGGCATCTGAAGTGGGGGCAGGCTTGTGAGACTGAGCCTTTAACCTGTGTGGTCTGCACTTACTCTGGTTAATTAGTGTAAGAATTGAACTGAATTGATAGACACCAAGTTTGGTTGATGTCAGAGAAAACGCCCCACAAAGGTTAGGATTTAGACATATATTTTGGGGAGTACATAATTCAACTCACTACAGAGGGGGAGGGAAAGAAGAAGAATGATCTGTGGTTGTGGTTGTTTGTTTGTTTTTCCCCCCACAAAATCTTATAGTACTGACCACGTATTAATTGACTATGAATATGTGATTTACGGCATCAACCTTAGAAAGCAAAGGAGATAGGTTTATGGGTATCTCATGATAGAGACTCCTTTGCCTCTGGTTAGACATAAGGTCTTTTCCCAAACTTTATTAGAAAGATTGTTAGACTTCTTCAGGGCTTTTCCACCTGCCCATCAATCTTGAGTTTTCACTGCAGCTGGTCTTTTGGGAGAATGAGCAGGAAACATGGATAACAATTTAATGAGGATAGAATCTGTGAGCTCATCCCTGGAATTGTGAGTGCTGCTAAAGCTAAGGAAGCAGCCAAAGGTCTGGGACCCACATCTTGGCCTTGTTAGACTTCCTTCCTGGAATGTCCCCTGCAGGTCTCACCATTTAAAAAAATAATCATCATCAATTTAGATTCATGCCAAGGTCAGGCAGCCAACTAAAGGGATACTGCTGTTGTCAATCTTATGAATTTTTATTTTCTTTCATGTTCTTTCCCTCCCTTTTCTAACACTACATTTCTCTTTCTTTAAAAAAAAATAAGCACTTGCTTCCACAGACACGCACTTTTGTCTTGCGTCAATGCTACAAGGCAGATGACATCATTATTGCCATTTTACAGAGAGTGAGACGGGGCCCCAAAGACGTAATATCAGTTTATGCAGACATTCAATTGTGAAGCTGGGCATCAGACACAGGCACTAAATCCCATGCTTTTCCCTCAACCCTACAGTGTCTTCCTTTCTATTCCTGCTGCTTCCTTTTCTTACTGTTTCCTCATGTCAAAGGCACTCACAGGCTTAGGACCTGCTCCCATTGCTCTGAGATCCATGGTTCACTCTGAGCACCAAAACTGCCCAGGGAGCGTCTAGGAAAGCTGAAGACTGCCCCCCACCCCCAGCCTATCAAATAGCAACTTCCGGGGGTATGGCCAGGACATCAGCATTTTGCCTGAGCCCCCCAGGTGATCCTAATGTGCCGCCAGGATTGAAGACCGCTGCTATAGATCATGTTTGCACTGTTTATTAGCCATAGAAAAGGAAATATCCACTCAAGATTAACCTAACCTGTGGAGCACATCTTACTAAACCCGCTTGATGAAAAGCGAGGACAAAGTAACAAAGGAGACTTGCAGGTGACAATTTGAGCTGACGTGTTTAATGCCCCTCCCTTCCCAAATCCCACTGAAAGGATCACAGAGCAGGAAGAAAAGCCTATGGCATCCACGTGAACTAAGGAAGAATGGTATCAATGGGCTAGAAACTTGGAGGAAGTAGACACGATTTGGTGCAGGTGAAAACAAATGGGTCAAGGTACTAACAAGAACGGTTCCGCCCTGACAGGGAAACACCACATGGGAAATACGCAGGTGAAATAACCCCCAGAGACC